TAAAAAAATTTTCTTTACCATTTCAATATAATTTTTGTATGAGAAACTCGCAATAAAACTTGCTAAAAATCTAGTTAAAAATTAATAATCAGAAATCGGAACAAAAAATATTAACACTAACAACTCACCTTCCGTTTAAAAATCACCATTTCAACGATTCTTCTTCTTCTTCTTCTTCTTTTTCATAAAATACACATTGTACCTTACATCAAACGCGTATACAAATCAATAACGGAAATAAGTAATCGATATCAGAACCAAATATATTTCGAACAACTTTAATTTCAAAAACTTCGCATCAAAAATTACTTCGAAACAACTTCCCTCCCTCCTTCGCCCTTTTCGAAAGAAAATTTTACGAAACAAATTGATTACAAAAAAAAAAAAATACAAAGCCGAACGTCGTCCACCCCTCCCCCAAATACCCCTCGACGCGAAAACAATATCAATACCGACGACTCACTCTCCGAAACTAATCCCATCGAATCCATCCCCCGTCCAAGCCCCCGCAAACACAGTGAAGTCGTGATCCTCGTTAACAGCCGACGGTTCACAACAGTTTCGAGAGGGGAGGGGGTAAATAACAACCGGTGTGTGCATCTAGGAACAGAAACGGGCGAGTTGAATTCCAATCAACGAGGCTAAATTACACCGGGCCATTAGCTACTTCCAAAACTTCCACCCACCGTGGTGGACGAGGATGACTCGTCAAGTATCGGGGCCATCGGTTTCGACGCAACTCGCAAGGATTTCGGGGGTCTCTCTCTCCCTTACCTGCGTCCAGATGCGCCCTCCCCCCGTTCCGCGCCGTGCCGGCAAGGAGGAGGAAGGGGGGAGGGGAGGAGGAGGGTTGGAAGGAGAGCCGGACAGAGACGATGAAGACGTTGTAAAACGACTGTACGCTCCGTGTCTCGGTTCTCACACCTCGAAGACGAAGCGGCGCACGGTCAAAGGCCCGCGGGGGGTAAGCCCCTCGGACCGTGAAGCTAATTGATACGTAAGATTACGTTCCTCGGCCTGCTTCGCCCTCCTCCTCTTCCCTCCTTCCCTCCCTCGCCCTCGTCCGGATGATTGGTTGTCGGCTGGCCCGCAGACTAGTCTCTAAATTCCTTGGCCGAGGCTTTGGAACCACTCGCACGCGCGGCTCTTGAATGTTATTTAAGCTGTGTTCTCCTCGCTTTTGACGCGATTTCGCGGGAATCTTTGAATCGTTTAATGCAATAAATGGACGTTTCTTTTTCTTTTTTTTTTTAATCGAGAATCGAAATTCATTGTTAACATCGCTTGCTTCTTAATGCAATTCGCAGAAGAATTCGATCGTAAAATTCCGATTCTTGTTCGTGTTAAATTCATTACGAAAATTCGTACTCGTTTCATTGAATTTCCTAACACGATTGTTCTTCGCGTACGAAAAGATATTAACCTTCGAATCACGATTATCAAAGGATAAACTATATACAAGATCCAATCGTAAATTCCTCGCTAAATTTATCAATATCATACGAAAGTATCCATCGATCGAATAATTTCACTCTTCCCCAGAAAAAAAATCTCCCATACTCCATCTTCTTTCGTGATTCTCCTCCATTCCCGCGAATAGTTTTCCACGTGTTCGAGGAACGAAAATACCGAGAGGATAAAACATTCGCCCGATATGCACGATTCCCGCGTATACCATCATCCCGTAAAACGTAACTCGTACCGTCTCTAAAAGAGACCGAGCGCCTCTTCCTCTTCCTCCTCTCTTTCTCTCGCTCTCTCACGAAAGAGCCGAAGAGAGCACGGCGTTCATAAAACGGCCGTAAAACACTAAACGGTTGTAAAGCTGCCGCCCCGAAAACGCGCGCGAGCGTGCACCGTTGTTTAGCCCTTGTGCTGTTGCTGCGGTATCGTCTTCTTCCTTTGCGGCCCGGCCGAATAGAGACACGGACCCCGTCGATGTTAAATCATCCCGCGACCACGCCTCCTCCTCTCCTTTTTTTCTTCCTCTCTCTCTCTCTTTCGAGCTCCTCTTCCTCCTCTTCGTGAGGAACCGCGAATCCTGCGGGATAGGGGAGAACACCTTGGTGCCCCCGTTCCGCCGCCCGTGTTTTAATAGATTGATTTGGGAAGCGAATCTATTTGAACGGATGGAATCTCTCTCGAAGGTTTCCTCTTTCGATTTGGAATTTTGATGATGGATTTCGGCGCGGGGGAGAGAGTTTTCTTTCTTCGAGAAGAGGGTTTTTGGCATTCTTGATTAGTATTTTTGATTGGATTATTTCTTGCGGAGTAGATTATTGGAAATATTTTGAGGAAAATAATATGCTTGGAACGAGATATTGGTTGGTTTTTAGTATAAAATTAGGAATCTTATTTTTCTGCTTCTTGGTAATATAAATATCTTTAATTTCAGCAGACAATATATCACTATGTATAGTATAAATATACCCAAATTAAATTTTATTTCTATTGCTGTAAAGAGAAACGAAGAAGATACAATTTTGTTGTACATTAGAATTGTTGAAATAATTTATATGTAATATTCGCTTTGGAATTTATAATAATTTGAATATCTTCTTGTTCATGAGGAATGTTTTTTGTAAATATGTATGCAGAGAGCTATTTTCGTACGATTCCAGTGAATCGTATCGTGATTTTCTGATCATACAGTAATTTCGTTTTTTCGGTATTCGGTAGTTAAAGAATTAAGAAAAGGAATTTCCCTTTTGATTATAGAAACCGCTTGATAGTGTTGTTAACTTCGATTATTAAAAGATAAATTTGCCTCTCTTTACTTCTTTCTCTCTCTCTCTGTTTCTCGAAAAGGATAGAATTTCTCTTCGACAAATAATAATCAACTTGTCTCTCAGCCAGCACCAAAATTATCCCAAACATTTCTTAAATATATATAATTAATGAACATGTATAAAATATATACGCATTATCATTATTCTATATTATCATACTTATTTAATATAATCTTCATCGGTTGCTGCTTCCACGATCCTCGTCTCACAATTTTTCCAAATAATAACAACTCAAGTTTTAAATTCCAAGAAAACCACATTCCGATCATTCATACTTATTTACGCTAAAAACCATAATTCTTTCATACGAACGGAATCCATCTATCATCAATCATATCTTCTTGACACCTGAAAAAACCGTCGTTGCCATACTCTCGAATTAATAACAACATACAACTGTTTTTACCACAAAATATACTTTTTCGGATATACTTTCTAAGTTTTATTCTCTTCTCGACTTCTTCATTGAGAGATCATTAATGATAAATTAATATAATGGATCAATATTTAATATAAAATTCAATATTCAAAATGCCAGTAGAGAATTCGAATCTGTTACTTCCTTTTTTCTTTTTTCTTTTTTTTTTTTTTGAATGGAATAAATGTAAAATGTGTTCTCGAGATCACAATTGTATTGAAAATTAATTAAAATGATGATTTATAATTTATATTATCATAATCTGAATCATCGGAGTCGACTTTTTATTTATTTGTAGAATAAAAAGTATTCTAATCGATACCTTGAAAATTGAAACGATTGATCGTCATCAGAATTTTATCCTTCATACTATATTTTCTTGAACGAAATCATCGAAACCAATAAGAAATCCTTCTTTCTAAATAATCCCAGATAAATTCAAGAATCGTACTACTGGCCAAGAAAAAAAAGAAATGTTGTTTAAGAGTTCAACAAAATTAATAAAAGAAATTCCGGAATAATCAATGTTGGATTGTGCTTGCGACGTATTCTGTCCCATCGCCGAATGATCTCTCTATAACTCCGTGAAATCTTCCTCATCAATCGGTCGTCGCTTTAAACTTTGATGACTCCGTGATAAACGGGAGGTCGTAAAATTATCGAGCGGAAATTACAAGAGTCGACGAAAGGGGAACCGGGTCCAAAGTACAACCTGTCGGAAGTCGTCCTCGTAATTAGGCACTCGTTATCCCCCTGGAATTTAATCCAGAGCGAGCAACATCTCCACGTCGATCATCATCATCCACGCCCGATTTGCATCGTTTCGTGAACGGATTAAGATTCAATATAAGCCTGTGGAGAAGGATCCCAACCTTCCTCGTATTTACCCCGAACGGCGATGAAGTTGTTTCCGATCTTCGATGATTGCTCACGGCCGACGCCGTGATTAAAGTTAATTCCAACCGTTTAGGATTGTATCGATTCAGGATGTGCGCGCAATGTTTAATAACCGCGTGATAAATTGCGTACACCGGTAGCAGTTGTGCCTCGATCATTTACACCTCGAACGTACGTTTTTCTTCGAACGAATTCTTCGAATGATTGGACGTGGAATGGAAATGGATATCGTGATTGATTTGTGTTTTCGTTCGGAAGTAATTGTTTGACAAATTCTGAAAATTCCATTCTCTGTAAAGAGAATCTCGCGTCTGTTTTTTATTTTTTTTATATTTAATATTTCACGTTTATGGACAGAAATTCCGAAATTCCTTACCTCAAACTCAAAAACTCCACTCCAATCCATATCAAAAGACCAATCCCAGAAAAAAGTCACTTCGATAGAAAGAAACAATGCACCGTATCGTTCACCGTTACACAATCATCGGGGATTCAACCAGGTCTCCACCTCGTCTACAAACAGCTACCAGCGTCTCGAAAATTTCGTAATTTCTTTAAACGATCGGTTGACAGATAATCGACACGGTGTTTCGGACCGAGCGGATCCGCATTATCGGGCCTCATGATCGAGAAGTGATCGATATACCCCTCGATCCCTGACCCAATCGATAACGAGGTATTAACGATCCGGAGCTCTGAACCAGTTTTCAGAGGGGAGGGTTCTGCCACTCTCTCTCCTCTCTCCACTCCTCTGCGCTCGAGGGATCCGTCCCCCTCCCCCTCTCCCTCCACCCGTTCGAAGCGCCCATCGATGGGCCCACGAGGGGCCCGGCGCGATCTCCGCGCTCTTTTGTTTCGAATCGGCCGCAGCTTTTCGATTATCGTCCGCCGTGCACCGTAACGATCGCCTAACTCAGTGGCCCCGCCTACCGGCCGAACGCTGCTCCACCCCCTCGGGGCCCCGGGTCCCGGGGCCCCACTTTTTGCATTTAAATTAATTTGCGCCGATTAATTTTTAATTAAAGCCGCGCTCCGGGACCGGGTTCGGTAGGCGCGAAATACTCTCGACAAACGCGCCGATTCCCTCCCCTGATCGGGGCCTGCCTTCCCACTAATGGGAATCGGTTTTGGGCATAGAGGATGCTCTAGATTTGGGAATGGAAGGAGAGTTTAAGGAGAGTTTGGTATGGAGGTGGTTTGGGTTTCGAAGATCGTTTAAGGATCTCTCGTTGGTTAGGGGCCTAATGGGCCCCTTGGTCTTGGGAAAAGGAGGCTCTCGGTGGGTGTGGACTCGTGGAGGTCCTAATTTTTAGTGAAAGGATTGATTTTGGTGTGTGATACGGTGGTTGGGTATTCATTTAAGTAAGAAGGTTTGGTTGGGAACTTGGGGAACTGGGATGACTCGAGCTTTTCGAAATGTGTGCATTGGAAAATATAGGCTTCTTTTATTGGTAATTATTTTGTTACGAAGGAAAAATATTGACGAGGATGTTGTGTAGGTTTTCTGTTCTGTCTAAATATGATGGAAGGCAATAAATACGATGGACTGTGAAACGAGTTTCTTTGTTACGCCCTCCTATTTTGTATCCAATTTTGAGCAATTTCTTTAAATTATCGAAGAATTGAATAACTCAGAAATCATTTAGCCGTCTAATATTTCTTAAATTTCGTATTCGCTCGATCCTTTCGAATATCTTCCAATTTCCAATCCTAATTAACCTAAAAAAGAAAAAAAAAAAAAACGTTCAGAAAAATGTTGAATCGATCGTAAATGAATATTATTCATCGTGAATAGATACAAATTCATACCTCGAATTCAAATTCTCGAATATTATCTATCCGATATCTACACTTCGTTCAAAATATTTTTTCAACGTCGTTTAAAACGTGATGTACGCGGCTAATCTTAAATTTAAGGGATGGAATAGCTTCTTCGGCTCGGATGCGTTTTAACGGTACGATATTTACGAGAGGGGATGCTCTCGCCTTATAACAATATTTTTTCTCCGGACAGACGCACCGATATTCTCAGTCCGAATTCGCACGCAGACGATCGCTTATGCTGATTGTATGTGCACCAAGAGAAACGGCCCCCTGTATCGGAATGCGATCTCCTCGTTTAATTACGAATCCTTCTGGGAACGATCACGACACCATTCGTACGCGGTGTTCCACGAAATCGACCACCTACGATATAAACACGATATAGCCTAAGAAAATGCTCCATATGATATGAGCGTAAAAAATAATCGAGTTAAATGGAGTCGAAATTTCGTAAGGTGAAATTTCGTTGAAATTGAAATAAGAGGTAACACGGTTTGAAACTACGAATCGTTTTGACAATTTTTATCTTAATTTTTTTTTATAATAAGTGAATCTCGAAGTGAACTCGATTATTCTGGTAAATAACAAATATTACGTATATACCTTTTCTTCTGCGAAAAACATTTAGCAATTAATATTAATCCACGAACAATCCTCTTGAAAATTCAAATTCCAAAAAACCGAACAAACTCGTGTTTATTTCTACAAAAGTGTCTACACAGAATCACAAATTTCAATTCTAAATAATCAGAAAATAAAAATACATACTTCCAATTAATTTAAAACACAGGAAACACCGAACACCTGTCTCCACTCCTGCTCTCCTAATCCCCCGAGCCAAGATCGATATTCCACCCGTCCCGTGTCCCGATTTCCGTGTCGAGGCGATATCCAACGGAAGCCTTCGTGCTTTTTCCATCGTCCCCTGTTCTCCGTTCCCCGATCTTGTTGCTCGTTTAAACCGCGAACGAGCCTCGAAAAGAGAGGCTGGAAAAGAGTGAGAAAGAAAGAAAAGAGAGAGAGAGAGAGAGAGAGAGAGAGAGAGAGAGAGAGAGAGAGTGGT